CTGGTTTAGAATGAGGCATCAAGTTTCTTAAGTCTTGCATTAAGTGTCTTGTTCTGAAATTTATTCCTCTGGAAGAAAAGATGAGAATTCGTTCCTTATTCTTCCACTTGCCCTTGCAAACGGGGCCTGGGATACGGTCTCTATCTTCCTCCTTCCCCTCTTCGGCTGTGTCGTTAAGCTTAGCCGGTGGTCTGACATCTTCTTCGTCTCTTTTTGGTCTCTTGGTCTTGATAGCTAAGTCTCCACGACAATTCCTCTTGGTAGCTGCCATCTCGCCTCGCGCCACTCGCAATCTTCCTTCCGACTCTGTACAACCTTAATTAATATTGATATCACTAAATTAAGCACATGAAAAATATTGAATTGGCCTATGTTATATGTATTATTATAACAAAAAAGTTCTAATACTGAAGAAAGTTTTATTTGGGTGCTATTTCTCTAAAGGATAGAGAAATTTTTCTTACTTGAAGATGTCAGTTGCATAAAACCAATTAGATATTAAGCAGTTACTCTGGTTTTACTGTAAATTTTCTTTTCTAAGTGAAAAATGTTTATGAAAGAGGGGAAAGTTGGCACATTCCTGTACACGTTACTGCCTTCATTTAGCTTTTCACAGGAAAATTTCAGTAACTGCTAGTGTAAATATATTGGGCAGGTTTAAGAATCCAAACGTTTCTGACCAATTGAGACAGACTCTTCCTAGTTCATCTTTTTTATTTCCACTCACTGATGTTCCATCATTCCTCAAGTGAAGATTAATTAGTACAACCTTAGTTACAAGAGAAGAGAAAATTAGGGTAAGAAGACACTATTGTGTAAGTATTGGGGCACAAAGTCTAATAAATAATGCATTCTTATTTTTCACCAAGGCTTTAGATATAAATTAAGTGAATTCCTGTCTGCATTTTACATGGGAGTAAAATAAGACTAGAAGAAGTGATTGTCCAAAATCCTGTCAGTGTTGGATCTAAGACTAAAGCCTAAAAACCAATAGACATCAATAGAAAAATAGACATTTAATCAGTAACTTTTTTCCATTTTAAGTTTAATTATATTATACTTTCCCAGACAACTCAATGGCACATAACAACAAAAACATTACTTTCTTAATTCCCTAGGGCTGTAATAACATAGAAGATAGCCTTAAAGATATAGCTATTCACTGTTGTTGTTGTTGTTAAGTGCTTTCGAGTCCTAGACTATTCATAGTGACCCTATGAATGAGAGACCTGAGCACTGTTCATAGAGTTTCTGGAGGCAAGCCATGTTGGAAGTGGATGCCACTCCTGCTTCCAAGCTTGTTTTAATCGGGAAGCTCCATCACACACTGTCCACCATGGGTAACCATTATCTCATTTGGCACCTCAGTGTCACAGTGTAAAGCAACCATGAGTTACCTCTGTAAAGCAATGCATAGACCAGTGCTATACCACTTAGAAGAATGTTTGACAAAAAACAATGGGTTTTTAGATATGAGGCCATATCACATCGCTTCACTCCCCTTAGCAAATCAACATTCCACCCTACTGCTCACCAATCCAGCCAACAGACTTCTGTAGAACCAGCTCCTATAGATGACTTTCAAACTGGTTCCAGAGGTGTGCTGCTAATCAAAAAAGGATTTTTAAATAGGAAGCCTTATCACATCACCTCACTCCACTTAGCGAATCAACATTCCACCCTACTGCTCACCAATCCCAGCCAACAGGCTTCTGTAGAACCAGCTCCTGTAGATGACTTTCAAACTGGTTCCAGGACCCAGTAGCTATTCACTACTGGCAGTATACCCTAATGAAATCAGAGTTGCAACTTAAGAAAATGTGTGCATAGGTATGTTTATTGCTGCATTACTCATAATAGCAAGGATATTGAAGCAGTCCAAGTGCTCATCAACAAATGAATGCATAGAGAAACTGTGGTACAATGGTAAAGTGGAATATTATGTAGCATTGAAAATAATAAAGAATTCATAAAACTGCAACATGGGCAAGTATAGAGGACATTATATCAAGTGAACAACAAAACACAGTATAAATGAATGAATGTGTGAAACAAAATGTACATGAATGAAACAATGTACACAAATTTTGTATGTAAACTAATATAAAAGAAAAATTTTTTTAAAAGAATAGAAATTCATTGTCTCATAGTTCTGGAGACTAGGAATCCAAATTCTATGCATTGTTATGGCTATTTTTTTTAAAGTTATATTTGGTTTGTGGTTTTGGGTTTTTTTATTCATAATGTGTTTCTTATGACCATTCCCATACATTGTGTCTTATAAAATTAACCACTACTAATCATGTCCACTATCACCCTTCCTCCTCAGATCCCCACTGAATCTTCCCTAATTCCTTCACCACCTCCTTCCACCCATCAAACTCTACAGCTCCATGATTTAGCCCTCTGCCCTGTACTACCACGGCTCTCTCCCCTCCCCTTTTGGATATCCATACACATTTTTACAATAATAATCTTGTGCAGCATTTGTCCTTATGGACCTGAGGTATTTCACTCAGCATATTGCTCTTTAGCCTCTCCCATGTTATATAGTATTTTTGGGAAATTGTTGCTCCTGAGTGCTACATACAGCTGTGTTGTTTTTGTCTGGCCTAAGAGAATGGACTTCCTTCACTTGTCCAGCTTCTTGAAGCACCAAGCATCACTTGATGTTCCTTAGATTGTAGATGTATCTTCACATGACACCTTGTCTCTACCTTATGGGACTTTATTTCCAAGTCAGTTCTTCCTTTTTATAAGCACCACTCCAAAGGGATTAGGACCTAGTCTAAGATGAGCTAGTTTACTTTTAACTGAAAGCATCTTCAAAGAAATACCTATAAGTTCACATTTCATTTCAGCGAATGTGACCCAAACAAGGTCACATTCCTGGTACACTCAGTTATAAATACTAGTAATTGTTAGCTGTGCATACAATGACAATAGTTAAGAGTCAAGACTAATTAATTATAATGTTTTTTTCCTAACTATATAAAGACATTTTGCTATTTATGTTATAAAGGATATGGCAATTGTATTTTTTTCCAGATTGAAGAGGAAAAGAGGAAAAATATAGAAGCTATGAAAGAGGAAGAACGGATAAAAGCAACCAAAGAACTGGAAGCTTGGAGAAAACATCAGAAGAAAGGAGAAGAACAAAAAAAGATTCAGAAAGACAAGAAATTGCATCAAGAACAGCACATTGAAGAAGAAAGAGAAAAATCAAAGAGCAAAAAGAATCTTAATAGAAATTTGGTGTCTAGAAATCTTTCCACAAAAGGTACAATTATTAATATTTTCTAGGAAAGCAGCTTCTTTTTTGTAAAATACGTATTACATTTTTAAAAATCCAACCTATTTAGAGCATTAAATCATTGTTTTTATGTATTAAGAATAATATCATTAAAAGACTAATTTATTTTAGGGAGTATTGAAATTTTCATTAGAAAACAAGGAGATATTCAGTACCTTTTGGATTAGGTATTTTCTTTTGATATTTATGTAAGAATTAATTGTTAAACCTTTGGTTTCCTTATGACAAATTACAGAAAGACTTGGAGTAGGCTAATAGTGCCAGGAACATTCATTTATTCCTATAGAGATAAGCAAAATTTTCATGAAAAGGCTTATTTCTACACATGACTCAGGCAAATGAGGAATATTAAAAATAAGTTTAAGGTTTGATACTTGAAGTCTTCTTAAAAACAGGTTGAAGCCTGACTGCTTCTGGCTTTTTCATCCTGATTATCTTCAAAACAGGTAAAATGACTTTCTTATTAAACATACCAAGTTTGCTTATATTGGCTATGATAATATTTAAACTTCATTTTGTTATATTTAGTACTTTCTTCATATAAGTAAATATTGAATTCCTGTAAATGGAACGTATGGTAGTAAAATCATTTTTTAATAATAAATATAATTATAATTAATTATTTGGATCACAAGATTATGTAATTTTTTAATTCAATCCTCAGAACAGCACTTCATGATAATTTTAACATCATAATTTTAGAGGAAGTAGGAGGTAAATGTTCAGACAGGGAGCTCCGGTGGTCTATAGGGTATGAATTTGGACTGCTGACTTAGAAACATGCAGTGGGAATCCGCCAGCTGCTTTTCTGGAGAAAGATGGGCTATATCCTCCCTTATGTTGCTAGGAGAGGCAGTTCTTTGGAGAAGGACATCATGCTTGGAAAGGTGGAGGGTTCATGAAAGAGAGGAAGACCTCAGTGGGATGGAATCACATAGTGACTGCAGCAGTGGGATCATTGTGTCAGAGATGATGAGGATGGCACAGGATAGGACAGGGTTCAGATCTGTTGTTCATAGAGTTGCTATGAGTCGTACTTGTTGCACCTTACAACACCCAGTAACTCTTCGACAGAAAGTTATGATGTTAATTTTAACGTGCCATCTTGACTAGGCTAGGATACCCAGTGGTGTGTTGAAACACTAAAAGTTGTTCTGTATTAGTAGATGTAGGGAATTCTGGTGGCCTAGTGGTAAGAAGCTGTGCCACAATTCTGAGGGCATGTAGTTCAAATCCAACAGCTGCTCCACTGGGGAAAGATGGGCATTCTCTTCCTATGTGATTAACTACCTCTGAAAACCCACCAGAGCATCAGCTGTGGGTCAGTTCTGACTCTACGATACACAGTAACAATTAGTATTTATAGTGTTCTGGTAGCCTAGTCTACAGGAAGTAGTGCTGCTAACCCAAAGCCTAGCCACTCCAGTGGTTCAAAGCCACCAGCCACTCTATAGGAGAAAGACAATAGTCTCCTTTTGTGCAATTTATAGTCTTGGAAACCCAACAGAAGGCCAGCTATGATGTTTTATTATTTTTTTTTTGTGCCTGTATCTTTATGATCTAGAGCTTACTTGATAACACCTAATAATGCCTTTGTTCTTCTGTCTGCATTAAATTATCAATCTCTAGTCCATAAAAGGGGAGTCTCTGGTGGCCTAGTAAGGGTTTAGGTTTATGTTGCCAACCAGAAAGCACATGGTTTAAATGCACTAGTTGCTCCTCATGAAAAATATGGACCCAGTGTGATTTATAGCCTCTGAAAACTCTCTGGAGGGAAAGCTATATAACAACAGTCCTCAATATTGAATATTAATATTATACTAATATTAACAACAGTCCTTAATATTAATATTGTATTGGTATCAGAGATCTTCTCAAGCAGCTTTTGGAATTATACCAGCTTTAAATTCACTAATAGGGATATTCCGTTGCTTACCTTTGAGCCAAACTCTATTTGAACCTTTTTTTATTTGTTTTCATTTTAGCCAACATTTTTTT